AGTTTTGAAATTTAGCATATGGAAAAGCAGATTATTTCTTAAACCCTAAGCAGCAAATACTGGGACTTATGTGATTACAGTACTGATTTATTTTGAATAACAGGGGGATTTCTTTTTTTTTCTTCCTTTCTTTCCTGGTGTAGAAAGTAAAACTGGTCCAGGAAACATACAGTCTAACATTCAGCACAAAGGCAACAACAAAGGACGGTGTTGAGAATGGAAACAGAGATAAACAATGAAACATATTGGCTTCTTTTGGGTGTAAAAAGGGTTCAAAAATAATATTCACTATGGGGCCACGTTTTCCTAAGAAGCAGCACAACATAGATACAGATAGCATGTATGCAGTGCCATGTGTGGGATTATGATCTGCCTAAACTATTTGCGATATAAAAATGATGATGAAAAGAATTCACAAATTGTTGTTCCATTTCTCCAATCTCCTATGAAATCACATAGGTGGGATAAAGCAAAAAAATACAATTACTTTGGAACGATTTTACCCAGCTGCCCCATGCATACTGAATTACCATGCATCCTAAATTAGAGAGTTGATAATAGCATTTAATGAGAGACACTTCATAGAGATAATGAACACTCAAGTAAAGTAAAGGTAAAGGACATTAAGTCTAGTCATGCCTGACTCTGAGGGGTGGTGCTTATCTCCATTTCTAAGCCAAAGAGCCGGTGTTGTCTGTAGACACCTCCAAAGTCATGTGGTCAGCATGACTGCATGGAGCGCCGTTACCTTCCTGCCAAAGCAGTACCTATTGATCTATTAACATTTGCATGTTTTCGAACTGCTAGCTTGGCAGAAGTTTGGCTAACAGTGGGAGCTCACCCCACTCCCTGGATTCAAACCACCAACTTTTGGTCAGCAAGTTCAGCAGCGCAGCGGTTTAACCCACGGTGCCATGTGGGGCCCCTCAACACTCAAACATGTTGACAAAAGAATATATTTTAAAACAGAAGTATGTATATATGAGTGAGTGAGTGAGGGATAGATGGATGGAGCATTATATTTTTCTTTAAGAATTTGAAGGCAATATTGACAGGAGTGTTTTGGAGTATGCATTCGAGGGGTGGGATGAGGACACAAGCCAATATAAAAGCAAGGGGATTAAAATTCGAGATGCCAGCTTTCATTAAGCATATCCACCAATTTTTCATTGGCTTTGTTATTTGTTTTCTGATATTTGTCTTCAGCTGTGTACATACACAGCAGGGATTTGGGTTGTGTATGGAAGACAATTTCCCTGGTACCCTGCAGGGAAATCGTAGCAATCAACATGAATCAATGTAGAATTAATATGGATATGAAGGGATTGTATTGTAGTGCCAATTTACCCAAATCTGCACTTCCAGAAGCTAATTATAATTAATACAAATTATCCCCAGGAAATTCAATACATTCAATAGACTTTTGACATAAAAAGAATAATGCCACACCTGACTTTCATACACATGTTAAAGCTCATTAGTCTTCCAGGAAAAAAGAGACAGTGACCATAGTTCACCAGTAAGATTGAATATAAACACAAGGATTCAAACTAAACTTTTGAGATATAAGCATGCCTAAAAGGCATTAGTATTCAAAAATGTCTAGCTTTGAATCTCTGAGTATTCAATGGGCAGACATGGATGAACTTTGGTCAGTTTTGGTTTTTCTCATTTTTGGTTTTTAAAATAATAATAATAACACTTTATTTATATTTCACCCTATCTCCCCAAGGAGACTCAGGGCAGATCACAGTACACAAATACATGGCAAACATTCAATACCATTTTGGATAGACAGGATAGAGACAAACAGAACAGCAAGGAGGTATGTTGTGTCGATATCCAACTTTTTTTTTGTGCCATGGAGGTTGTGCTCAAATCCAGCCACGGGGGGTGCTGTCGTTCCATCCTCTATGTCAAAGAGCTGTCGCACCTCAGCGTAGAATCACCTTGCTTAAGACACCAAAGAACACACCAGCAGTAGCCTTTTATTGTTTATTAAAGAAAAAGATAAAAAAGTTCGAAAAGGCCAAAGTATATTCCAAAAGATCAATCCAAGGTAACATAGGCAAACACGATCCATAAAGTCACATGCAAGGCAAAGTCCCATGAGAACATGACAAAGCTACAAGATAAATCCAAAGTCTCTTGGTTGAAGCAGGAAGTTGCTCTGACACTGAGGCATAGTCAAACAGCTTGTTTAATACTCTTGGGACAGCATGAAAGTGTTTCTATGGCCCTGAGCCCCTCTCTCTCGGCTGCTAGCAATCCTGACACTTCGTCGAACCTTAAATTCCAACTGATTGGCTCTATCTAAACCTCCGGCTTCATCAAGGTCAATTCCCTCGTTAGTGCTCTTGCCCTCGTTATCTGGCTGAGAACTATCTAGCTGAGAAACGTCCTCCCTTTGCACCAGGCTCTCAGTAGTTTCACTTTCAGCAGTGTCATCTCTTGCTGTGGGAAACAACTGAACTTCTGCCCCCTGTTCCTGGTCTTCTTCGTCTAACACAGGGACATCTTTGTTTTCACCTGACTGTGAATCTGAATCCCATCATCCCCATCAGAATCATTGACACGATCACTCTGAAATTCCAGCTGAGTCACAACAAGAGCCATCAGGACTTCCTCCTTCCTTTTGGACACTGGGCATTTTCTGATCTTTTTCTTTATGGTGTCATAAAATACCTCCCCCCACTTGTTTTAGCAGTCTCTAATTTTCCTACTTACAGCTCAAGCTGTTTTCGAACTGCTTCAGTCAACAGTAAGCAGGGCTGACAGTCAGGAGCTCATGCTGACCTGGGGCTTCAAACTGACCACCTTTTGGTTGGTAGATCTTATCATTGATGGTGATTGGCCAGCTGTGCTAAAGTCCACCCTATGGGTTCTTTCAGAACTGGGGAAATGGAAAAAATGTTTTTTATTTTATTTTTGAATACATCTTGCTATATGGCGTTTGTGGGAATTGGAATGTAATTGCCACTAACTGTTTTTTTAAAAGCACTTTCCAAGTTCTGAATGTAAGAAAATGCAGTTGGATGTTAGATGACAGGATCTTCAGGGATAATGAAGAGCTACGCCTTGCCTTTGCTGAGGAACAAACATGGCACATATTATTATATGTTACTGACTAAGTTGAATAAGATAATTTAGAGGCAAAATGCAGTCCTCCAGCCCACTGAAACAAATTTGCTTTTAGCAAATAGAGACATCATTTTTAAATATGCTTTATTTCTCCCCCCCCCCCCCATCTTTTTCTGGTGCAAATTAATTACTAACCATAGCTGGCATGTTCTTTTCATCATAATGGGATCCTCAGTAGAAGGGGGGGGGGGGGTGGGAGGCACACATATATTACTCAATTAAGCTCAGCAATGATTCTGCAGAGTGGATAAAAGCCTCTATTATTGCATTATATTGTTTAGTTGTTTTGAAAAAAACAAACCAAAGATGTGAAATGATTGTGGCACGTAGCAGGCGGAGGTTGCCTTCCAGTTTTCAAACAGTAAGCTACAGCTTATACATACATACACTTTGAGAGACTGTGTGCAAAAGCAGATAAGCTTTCCGGTGAGACTGAAATTAGCAGCGCAGAAAGTAAGAGTCATGGGATTTGTGGGAGAGGAGGAATCTCAAGGAGAAAAACATTTAAACTGTTATGCCAAGAGAGTTCTTCTAGCAATTTATTTATTACTTATTTCCCTGTATCAACCACCCCTTGACTTACAGCTCCCTAAGCAGCAGGCTGCAACGTTAAATCAGCTAATAATATCAACAATAAAATACTGTCAGCGGATGCATTAAAACCAGCCCCTGCTGTTGCGATATTTTCATATTGCAAAAAGCAAGCATGTAAATGGGGATGATATTTCATCATGGGGCAAAAGGTTAAAGGCCCCCTTTTCACAGCCCCCATTTGGCTCCGGACCTACCCACTTCAGCTATTTGTCAAAACAAAATCAACCATGGATAGGCCACAATAAGTAGTTTGGCATTGGTTAATAGAGGAACACATGGCATTTTTTAGTCAGAGAATTGTGGCGTATGATGACACGACTGCAGCCTATTTCCCATTGACCATTGTTGCATCTAGGGGCCCTTTCACACCACACAATTATAGTGCTATGAGTCCACTTTAACTGCATGGGTACATCCTATTAAATCTTTGGAACAGCACATTGGTTGAGGCACTAGACTTCTCCGGCTGAGAATTTTAAATACCTCTTCATAAACTACAAACTCCAGGATTTTAGAGAGTAGAAATCTTTAAGATTGAGAAATCTTAAATTAGCTTACCCACATGATGCTGTGCTTCAAAAATGGCCCTGGTAGATCAGACCAAAATAATAATAATAATAATAATAATAATAATAATAATAATAATAATAATAATGGAATACTGTAAAAACACAAACCAAAGCAGAAGAGAAAACTGGCGAAAGAAGGCTCTCCATGGACAGTTCCTGAGAAAAATTCAGAGCCAAATTGACAAAGAAAAACATGGCTATGGCTCACAAATGGAACTCTGAAAAAGGAGACAGAGGGCCTGATTCTGGCAGCCCAAGAACAAGCCATTCGAACCAATGCCATCAAAGCCAGAATTGAAAATGTAGACTCTGCAAGTAAGCAGATGAAACAATAGATCACATCCTGAGCTGCTACAAGAAGATCCTGCAGACAGACTACAAGCAGAGGCACAACACCGTTGCTCAGATGATTCATTGGAACTTGTGCCACAAAAACCATCAATTACACAAGTATATAAGATTTGTGTCCGAACTCTCAAGTTTAAATAGTATGATAATTGTGTTCTGCTGTTGACTTCATTTTAAATAGCATTTGGACAAATGTATATATTTTTCTAGCAAGCTGGATTCCTTTCACAGTTTGTCTAAGAAATCTGCAAATTCCTGGAAGGAGAATGTGCTATTCATGAAATTAATATAACAAACTTTGTATGGGCGTGAACCCAATGTAATATTTCTGCGCTTCTCATTTCCCAGTGCTGCGTATGATGCTGTTCTCGACAGGAATGTGGCCATCAAGAAGCTCAGCAGGCCGTTTCAAAACCAGACACACGCTAAGCGAGCTTACCGGGAACTAGTCCTCATGAAATGTGTGAATCACAAAAATGTAAGTTTTTCCGTTGGTAGCTGGATTAAGAAACAACGTTTGACACCATTGAACGAAACTGTATTATACCTTTGTGACATCTTAATAACTACCTTATTTTGAAAGCTGAATTCTTTATGTGTCACGGATGGAAATATAATTTCTTCCACTGCTAGCTCTGCAGAGATTGAATGGCTTTAGGAGGTATGAATGTGGTCTAGGTTACAATATTCTTTTCTGAAACGTATGTGTCAAGGAAAGGGCAAAAACCTAGCTGGCTTCTCTGTTTGCTGCCTGGAGGAACAACTGAGCTGGGGATCAACATATTTAATGGTGCTGTCGCTATGGAGATGTTCACCTATTTATCCCATGAAAGTCCTTTTGACGGAAAAGTAGAAACCTGATTCAGCATCTCTCCTTTTGTGTAACAATAGATCAATTGTGCTCTGATTTTCCAGTCCACAGCTACTTAGCTGATATATGCTAATTTTGGATAATGTTTATGCTTATGTGAAAAGGCTCAGGATTAAGGCCAAGGTCAGAATTTACTCATGTGGGGTAGAACAGTTGGGTGGTGAACCAGGCCTTCACTTTCTACATGAATCTTTGATCCCACTGTTTGATTTCCCCCCCCCCCCCTTTATGCAATCTCTTCACCCAGCCATGGAGCACAGGGCTTTTTTCTAGCACATATTTTATGTATGTATGTATGCATGTATGTATTTAAAGCATTTATATTCCACTCTTCTCACCCCGAAGGGGACTCAGGGTGGAGCACAACATGTAAATGGCAAACATTTAATGCTGAAACATACTAGACCATACACATACAAAAGCCTTAAAATCACTTATCTTGACGTTAAAATCCTCTAGTTAAAACTGTCTCAACAACCATATTGAATTTGGTTGGCATACTAAGGGTTCCTATTGCTGCCTCATTGCACAGTCCCAAAGGTATGGTCCCACAGCCACATTTTTATCTTCCTTTTAAAGGACAAGGAGGGGGCTGATCTGATATCATTAGGAAGGGAGTTCCATAGCTGAGGGGCAATTACTGAGAAGGCCCTGTCTCTTGTCCCCGCCAAACACACCTGTGATGATGGTGGGACTGAGAGCAAGGCCTCCCCAGAAGATCTTAATCTCCATGGTGATTCATGGGGGAGATGCATTCAGACAGGTAAATCGGGGTGGGGCCATTTAGGGCTTTATAGGCCAAAGCCAGCACTTTGAATTGTGTCCGGTAGCAAACTTGCAGCCAGCGGAGCTGGCCTAACATGGGTGTTGTGTGCTCCCTGTACGCCGCTCCAGTTATTAACTTGGCTGCCTCTCGCTGGACTATTTGAAGCTTCCGAGCAGTCTTCAAAGGCAACCCCATGTAGAGGGTGTTGCAGTAATCAAACCTAGATGTGACGAGAACATGGACCACCATGGCCATTAGGACATTAGGAATTGGCAACTATTTCATGTCTCTGGGACATTTACATCCCTTATTGAACCTTAGAGAAGGAGTGGCAATTGTCAGGGATTGGGGCTCCCATTTCCCCCTCCCCGCAGATATACCCCAACACAGCTGAACATAAGTAAAATAAAATACATTATTTTGCCCCTGAATGCTCCCAAAAACCATATAAGGCGCATGTAGGCATATTTACCTCATTTTACTTCCTGGATAATTGGCCCAAATTGGCCCAAAAATTCATTTTATAGACAAAACACCCATTCAATGGAAAAATGGTTGCATGGCAAAGCAGTGACCATTTACTTTACTGAATCTACGAATCTATAAAATGTTTGATTAACTGATGAAAACAGAGTTTTCAGGAACAGTGCAGTTTTCAAAGACTATTTGCAGCTTGGAACTTACTCTGGTAAAAAAAAACCCCAATTTCATTACAGGAATGTTATTCATAAAATCATGTTTTCTGCGTAGAAAACATTCTTTCCACACTCAAAATGCTAGTGTGTTTGTGTATGTGTGTGCAGAAAATCTCAAAGTGTACAGATTCTCTTTGCGGAAGACTTGCCCTCATCAGTGTTTCCCAAGATTAAGAAAGCTCTGTTTTCATGTCTTAATCAACATTTTCAGAGACACATAGAGTTAGAGAAGATTTCAAAGACCATCCAGTCCAACCCCCTGCTGTATAGGAACACACAATGAAAGCATTCCAGACAAATGGTTGTCCAGGATCTGTTTAAAAATCTCTACCACACTCTGAAGTGTACTGAATATTCTTTCTATTAGTATTGCACAAAATCTGAGGGTACTGAACAACAAATCATATAGTATGTACAGCAGTGTTCATTAGCAAGTCATATACTACATACAGTTGTCATATCTATGCACAGCAACTCACCTCTGTGCCCTTTCCCTGCACCTTTCTGATACTTGAGATAGTATTCCTACTCTGCTTAATGATGTAACAGGCGCTGAGTATTGACATTTTATTGCAAATAGCAGTAGTCTATGGTTTATAGAAGCTAGATGTTATGTTTCAAACTGTCTTCAACTACATTTCTGATTCTTAATCCTTTACCAGAAAGTATAAGATATTTGTTGCTTCTTTGCCATCAAGTTGGCTTATATATAGCAAATCTAGACTCAGGGCCCTTCCACAAAGCCCTATATCCCAGAATACCAAGGCAGAAAATGTCACATTATCTGAGTGTGAACACAGATAACCCAGTTCAAAGCAGATATTGTGGGATTTTCTGCCTTGATATTCTGGGATATAGGGCTGTGTGGAATGGTCCTCGGAGATCTCTAGTAATCCCTGTGATTCACAGCCCTTCTCAGGTCTCCTAAACTCAGGTCTGTGGCTTCTTTGATTAAGTCTATCAATAAGACACTTTTTTTATTTTACCAAACATAGTTAATGTACTCCTATTGTGACATGGAAATTCAGTTTTGGAGTCAATTGGTTTGGTGATAATATTTCCTTTGCTTTTATAGTACTGAGCTACATACATGCAAACATAATGTTTGTGGGATGTTTCTTTAAACCTTTGTAGCAGGATTGGTTGGTTGAAAGTCAACAGCCATAAACACCCCTGGATTTATCTGCAGAGTGGTCCGTCATAATCTGATCAACTGCTAATGTTTTATTACCGTTCTCTCCTCCCTTGCTACTTTTCAGATTATCAGTTTATTAAATGTCTTCACACCACAGAAATCTCTGGAGGAGTTCCAGGATGTGTAAGTAAAGCCTAAATCTTTTCTGTGGGGAAAGAGAAATTGGTGAGGAGGAAGGCATTATGCTCTGGGGTGAAAATTAAAGTCTAGTAATAATAGGATGGAACAAATGGCTAGAAATTGCCTAGTGGAGAAGCTGGTAAACATCTAGATGGTCTTCCCCTGCGTTTTGGTATTTCAGAAATCACTTTTTACCTCAATTTAGCATATTAGTTAAGGTTAAGCATATTAGTTAAGGTTAAGGATAATGCCTGTGGAAGAACAACTATGTTTTGTGGGGCACTAGAGCTCTTTGATAGAAAATTATACATATATCACAAAACTACAAGTCCTAAGATTTCATAGGCTGGACTCATGACAAGTAAGGTTGGGTTAAAGTTGGGGAAATTGTATAATTTGGAAAGATGTAAGAGGAACCCATGTTGTCTGGAAAAACATAATAGTGGCACGCGTACTACCCAGTCCCTGTGATTTCCAGTTAAAATTATTTCAGGGAGCAGTACTGCCATTAAACAGTGTAGTCAAGAGGTGAGGAGACTTTTGGCCTACAATAACCTCCTCCAAAATGTCCAATATTATGAAATAGGGTGACCAGAATCTTCTTGTCTCTTTACAGTAGTGTAACTACTTTTTATTGCTAGTATAACTGAGTTTTCCAATGTTACATAAGGAAGATATCTTGGACCTCCTTGTGCAACAATTTGCTTAGGCAGCATGATGACTGCTCGGTGGCTCCTACATGAAATTCTACCCTCTCCATTCCAAGTAGCCAATGGCTGACCATGAAGGTGCATTGTGAAAGATCCTTTGTACCATAGCTGGCTTGCTTCTTTTGTATTCCCTCTACAGAATACACTGGTAGAATTTTAGCCTAAACAATTTTAAACATATTTCTGTTGAGTCCAACATCTGGATTGCCACAGGTTTCCATCTGTGGTTAACACAGTACTGGAGCTGCTCTGCATCACTATCAAGCAGTTTTTGTATAAGGCAACTTCATGTATTTATAAAGACATGGCTTTTCAAAGTGGGGGCACTCTGACAACTGTGTGAATTTGTTGAAGGACACTTTACTCCAGTAGGTGTAGAGAAATGTCAATTTTGCTCTTTCAATCCTTTCTGCAAAATGAATTCAGATTGATATGGCCACTAAAGAAAATGTATTCCAAGGAGATCTTGGAAAAGTTGGGGTTTTGGGGGGGGGGGTGGGACGGACTACCACAAGTAAGAATCTTCCAGTTGGCTATTCTGGGGCCTATAATCCAAAAAAGTGAAGTTTTCGAACTCTGGCAAGCATGCTTCCATTTAAAGTAGTAATTAAGTGGCTTTTTCTCCCATCTAGTTATTTAGTAATGGAACTGATGGATGCCAACTTGTGCCAGGTAATTCAGATGGAACTAGACCATGAACGGATGTCTTACCTGCTCTACCAAATGCTTTGTGGCATCAAACATCTTCATTCTGCAGGAATTATTCACAGGGTAAGCTAAAACCCCTCTGCCATAGCATCTCAAATCAGGTTTCATGCCCTAGAGAAAATAAGTGCTTGAAAGACTGATCATGCTGAACATCTCTCCTCTGCAGCTTCCTGTTATTCTCTAAAGTATGTCTGATTTTGGTTTCTGTTTTAGATTGCCCGTAGATGCCAACAAGAGCTGCCTCTTGAATCTCCAATTCCAGTTCAGCTCATCTTACTGCCTAAGGCAAAGCAGCAAATACGTAGTTGCTCTGTCACCCATCTGTTAGGCAGCATATTATCTCAAGCAAGTTATTTTGACACAGGAGTTAGAAAAACTATTAAAGCCCTCTCCCAAAGTTTGGCAGTTTGAAAAAAATGTTATTGAATGCATGGTAAACTGACACACAAGATCTATCGACTTTCTAGTAGGATGAGACATAAGTTGTTGTTTCACTATTTTTTCAATAGTATGACTGGCCCTGCTTTCCCTTTCTGCTTAAACTTCTACTGGCCACATACTCCAACTCTTTGCTGTCTCTTGAATCTTTTATCACTTGCAGTTTCACCCTAGTAAATTTGCACTTCCATATCTTGTAGGTAACAATTTCTGTTTCTTTCCTACTCTTTTCCCTCTTCTCCAGGATTTAAAACCAAGTAATATTGTGGTAAAATCTGACTGTACGTTGAAGATCCTAGATTTTGGACTAGCCAGAACTGCAGGCACTAGCTTCATGATGACTCCCTATGTGGTCACACGGTATTACAGAGCACCAGAGGTCATCTTGGGAATGGGCTACAAGGAGAACGGTAGGATATAGACACACACATGAATTGACCAAATGGCAGTGAAGATGAATGACCTTATGTTCATTGTGTTCAAGAATGGCTCTTGTATTGTTGTGCAGATATTTTCCAATGAAGTTTTCATCAGTATATAGAATAATCAACATTTCCATTTGCTTATGTGGACAATTGAAACATGGATACGTTTAGATGGAATTTCCTGCACAAGGGAAACTGGAAAAGACATAGATATTAAATTAGACAACATAATTAGACAGTTTTTTTTCATTGAGATAGTAGAAAATCCTGTGCACACAAATTATACTCCTGGTTACTGGTCAGGATTTTAGCAATATTAATGCAGTTAAGAAAAGGTAGGGAGATGAATCAAAGGGACATGATGCACTGTGTATGTCCTTAAAGAAATATGTGTAAGGGGATAATTTAGGCAGAGCTTCTACTGGTCACTGTAACACTGGAGAAAAACATCTTACAGAGCCCTTTGCCATAGTCAGATTTCTGGAAATTAGAGGCAGAGCTTGGAAAAGTAACCGTTGGACAACTACTCCCCCAGAGTCCCCAGGCAGCATGTTTACCAGAGAGTCTGCGAGTTGTTGTTCAAATTAGTTACTAGCAATTACAGCCCAAACTCTATGTTAACTGGTCTGGCTCATTTGTCCCCTCAAAATTCAACATATGGTATCTGTTAGGAATATGTTCCCTTAGAGTTGTACATCTTTTAAAAGCAACAACTTGGACTTCTTTTTATTTCAGTGCAGTTAGAGCTAATTTTACAATGTCCAGTCCACTGGCCAGTATGATATATTACTGTTATCTAAAAAGTAACAAAATTACAATTGTCAAAACAACTTAAATTGCTGAATCTCCAGTATAGCAGACTATGCTTGATTGTACATATTTCTATCTTTTAAGTGCTGCCACTATATGCAGAGATATTCTATAAGTGCTATATGAATCGCGATTAATCAAGAAACCAGATTGAATAAAAATATAAAAGTCAATGAGAAGCCAGCTCTGGAAGGTCTATATAGAGAATACAACTCAGAAGATGACAGCAAGTCACAAAAATACTACCTCTTTCTCCACAAATGTCAGTTCAGGTCCAAAGTATATTTGAGAAAATGATCTTCAAGGTAAACTGAAGGCATGGCTTGAAACCTCAACTTTCTGTTGGCCTTTTGTAACACCCAAGGTATTAGACTCAATTTCTCTAATATTTCAGTGTTTACACTGACATAATGGTGCAGAGCAGGCATGGGCAAACTTCAGCCCTCCAAGTGTTTTGGACTTCAACTCCCACAATTCCTGACAGCCAACTGGTGGTTAGGAATTGTGGGAGTTGAAGTCCAAAATACCTGGAGGGCCAGAGTTTGCCCATTCCTGCTGTACAGCCACAAGATTTCAGTCTAATAATGCTATCTGGAAGGAGTATAAAATAGTTTTAACCCTGCTTAAAAGTAATATAAAACTCATAAACACACATCACTCACTAATATATAAACAGAGTGAGAGAGTTTATTGGCCATGAAGACTTGAGAAAATAGGTATATTTCTAACAGGTATTTTAAAGTCAACAAAGATTTCATGTCTCAAAATATACATAAAACATGTTTTAAATTATGATTGCCACAACTGAAAGCCCTGCCTCTGCTGAACTACATGGCAGCAATTGTACTGATTGTAGGACAGCTAACAATGTCTTCTGTAAAGATATGAAGATTTGGATGGGCACACATTGTGTTCCTGGGATAGTTAGTGCTTGAACATGTCTCAATAGTTATTAGTAGTTGTCTAATTAAACTGACCTATTAGGAGGTGAGAAGAGAGATATATTTTTCTTGTGCTCACAGATTATTTTGTCTGTTTATTTGTGAACTTCAAAAGAAATCCCAATCTGTAGAACAATATTAAATTAACTGCTGCATAAAAGTTGTCTGACTTTGTCCCGGCTACAAAAATAAAAACAAATAATGTAGTAGAGCAAAAGGTATCAGATTAATATTAATGATGCCCGAGTAGACTTTCCCAAGTAATTTTAAGATGAAGATACACTTTCAGTGCTAAATATCCAAAGACACTTCCAAAGTCTTTTATTTTCATTTGTGGAATCCAATTACCATCTTTCCGTTTTTTAGGTAACATCTGATTGCAATCTGTGAACTGGCAATTAGGTAACTATTTAGCTTGGTTCTTGTTATTATTCAATTTTGGCAGTAATGCAGGGTCATTTATAGCACACTTTATATTCCTTAATTTAAAATGGCCTGCTTGTGCTGAAGGCCATTCTAGTAATCACAACCAGGTTACGGGAAAAATTTTCTTATTGTAGGTGATAACTAAGGTGAAAATGCTTTTAAAACATTCTTAATCAGCAATGTTAGAGCAGAGAACCTGAAGCTTGAATGCTGCCTTTGATCCAATGCTCTTTGAGTTTGTTCTTACAGTCCAAGAAGTCCTTGGATAAGTAGACTTCAATGGGTGGGATTGTTCCATGTCCTAGCCTCTCCCATTGAACTCAATGAAGAATCCTTTGGGATAGGTAGCCAAGAAAACCCATCGAAGAATCAGACAAACTATGATTTTATTTATGTGATATCTGCAGTGACCCCACTGACACTCTGACCATAAACGAAAACCAGGACCAGTTATTTTTCAGGGAGTAATCCAGTGCCATTTCTTCATAGCAGTACAGACTTTATCTATCCATAGCTATACTAGCAGAAGAGACCAAATTATACATTTTGCCTGGAAATGTAATGTTACTTAATTAATACTTCTAAGGTCTTTGACTAATGTACAGTGTAATACAGTATGCATGCAGAAAGTAAGGAGAAAAGGATTAGTTTTGCTACGTCTCAAAATTTTACTCAAAAATGAGGTCAACTTATACATGAGTATATACATTAGTCTTTAAATCTGCTTAAACGAGCAAACAAAAAGTATTACTTTGGCATAATTGTATTTAAGCTCTCCTCATTAGTGCAATCCTGCCTGTTTATGGCCAGTTCCATGCTTTCATTTTCTATTGGCACCTGGCTTTATAGAGATTGTAGCTATTTTACCACCATTTTGCTGCACCTTTTTCCTACAGACCCCAGATTGCCCCATTGCCCCCCCCCCCTAAAAGCAAAACTACTTCACTGTGTCAGGCATGCCTTTGCTGTCCTGTGCCCTCAGTATCATTCTGCTCCTTTCCCCACAAATGAAACATTTCCCTTTCATTTTGTTGAATTGAAATAAATTGTTTGGTTGGTGTTTGGTTTCGTTTGCATTTGAAGAAAGCAGAAAGGGGGAGAAAAGGAAAACAAACTAGTTTGAGAAACTGAAGGATTGTGGCAAGTACAGTTGTCCCTTCACATTTGCAGTTTTTAACTTGCTAATTTGATTATTCACAGATTTGATTAAAATGTTCTGTCTAGAAATCTCTAGGTGAGTTTGCTCCAGTTGGGATGAGGGAACTAGAGATTTATGGAGAGAACACCTCTCTAGGAATCTCTAATTCCTTCAGTCCAATGCTGTGGTCAGCTTCCAGTGGAAGTTGTTCAAAGAGCCATATCAATAGACCTAGAACTTTCTAAAAAAGTGTTGTCAGGTTTTCAAAAATAACCATCTCATTATTTGCATTTTTTAATACTTTCACAGGGGTTCCATTCCCTTAACTTCAATGAATGTGGAGGGATAACTGTAAATATTCAGAGAGCCAACATGTTTATAATTGTTTGTTTCGGTACTTTCTTTATGTTGTAATCAAGACTGCTTAAATTTCTAGATTCCATAGCAGACTGCATTGTTGTTTCTGCATCCTTACTCAGTGTTGATTGATGGCTTCCACATGAGTAAGGTGGTGAATATGATGTGAGTACCAATCAAAGTAAATATAAATATCCATGGTGTTGAACCTGCCTGAAGATAAGTTTCAACACCTTGGATAGCTCTAAATTCCAGATTAATGCCTGGAGTGTTCACCATCCCCTAATATGGAAGCCATCAACTACCAGGGTCATTTCCTTTCCTAGTTCAGTGGCAGATGGGGCAACTGAAGGTTATCCCACTTTATCTAACACTGGTTTCATCAACTGGATTTTGTAGCACCTGCTATACAGTTGATATGGAATCCAGGCCATTACAGTTAATAGAAGAGCAAGGCAGATAACTGGACTGGATATGAAATGCACAAGAGCATCTACAGCTGCCTCATCTCCCATAGGATAACTTAATGGTAAAGAGCTCTGGTTTATGATCTGATATCCCTTTCTATCTCAACGGTATCATTTGGAAAAGAGGATTATGTGACATGGGGTTTACCACATGCCAGACATGGAATTTCCTCTCCTAGGAGAAACAAAAAGAATGACATTTCTCACGGGGAACCTGGGACTTGTGTGGCAGTGAGGTCTCTTCTCTCTCCTCTCCTAATTGCCTATAGCAAAAATATCAGGTGAGAAGAGTAAAAGGGCTTCTGACCAGCAGTGCAACACATTTTTGTTGCATATTTGAAATCTTTTGAGTATGGTGGTGGGTTAATGGACAGGACTTGACATTTTAGCTTCCCAGCATTTGAAGTCTGACGCCATTATTAGTAAGGATTCCGGCACAGATTCACATAGTTATATATTTAAAAGTTATATATATATATTTAAAAAATCAGCTCCCTTCAAGCATTAAAAAGCCAAGTAGATGGGAGAGAAAGTGCTGCTTTCTGTATTTTTTCTTTCCCCCAGTTACCCATTTGTATTCACTCCTATTGTAGTCTCTACTCCTGGGGGCTAAGGCTTGGTTAACTATAAACTCATTGACATTTGATTGTGGTTTATGTATGCGAAACCATTTCACAAATCCTTTTGTAATTTCAAGTCTGGAAAATTCATACTCTGGCCACTGCCTAAGTAAGGAATTTCAGAACTGAATATATTAAAAGTATTGTTTTAACTAATGAAAACACCACCCCAAAAGTGTTAAATTAGTAAACCTATTTGGCACACTTGGGATAGTAGCTTTCTTTTTTATACTATGCCCACATATTAAAGAACAGCTGTAAACAATTTTAGAGGTTGACAAAACTGTAAAGGAAATATGCCAGGTTTGGGTTGCTTCTCTTGATTTTATCAACTTGACCTGAAAAGTATTTGTGTGCATCTGCAAGAAAAGCTTTGTGTCTCCTAAAAGACTATGATGCATGGGAAGGAAGTCTTTAAAGCTGAAATAATATAGAAAAGAAGAAATATTCTATAGATGGCCTGCTTCACACAAAGCATGAGGACAGCTTTGGATTTTTTGTAGTGGTTGCACACATCAGGTCGATGCCTTAATCAGTCCTGTGAACCTTTACTATTCAGTCATCATCCAGAGTAGAGCATTATCTCACTGGGGAAGATTTATGGATTTACATATTCAGCTGAGAGACAAAAACATCTTGACAACACAGGAATGGGGAATGTACAGTTTTACTTCCAGTTGGCCAATCCAGTTATTCAATCTGTCCTGCAAAATTTCGTAGATTGTATGCCCCTGGATCTAGCTTACAAATACAGTATAGTCTCATTTATCCAACATAAATGGGCCAGCAGAATGTTGGATAAATGAAAATGTTGGATAATAAGGAAGGATTAAGGAAAAGTCTATTAAACATCAAATTGTGTCCACTGGGAAGAGTGTGACGCAGCCGGTGCAGGCTGGACACTGCATCATACCCCTCCTGGTGAGTGCCCGGCACGCAGAGAAGTCACCTGCATGTTGCTGCCTAAAGAAATAGCTGTGGATCTGGGTGGGAGGCAGACTGCATTGGATAATGCAGAACAATGGATGAGCAAAGGTTGCATAAGTGAGACTCTACTCTAATGTCATGCTTACAAGGTACACCAAAAAGTGTGAGTATAAGGGAAGGTGGAAAGCAGTGCTTTCACTTGAACATAGAGTTGGATTATTTTCTGACAAATTCTCATGGGATAGTAGCATTAACATCTCAAAGATTTAATTCACTTAGTTATGAACTTAAGTAGCCCACCTCAGATGGGCTCCTCCTTTTACACTCAAATTTGCATCTTTTGTTTTAGTATTGGGTGCTTTCTCCTATAAACAGAGACACAAAATCAAAATACAAAAGCAGTACTCAAACATACGACGGAAATCAAACTAAATGAAGAAATCTAACTAAGTTATTGTGATAAAAATCCAAATTCTTCACTAACAATGGAATCCTAACGAAAAGATTTGCAGGGTCACCTATCAAAACCATTTTTCCGTGGAACCAATCTGATGTTGGCAGAATTGCTCTCTTGGCTAAGATTGGAAAAGCCAAGCAAAGAGTGGGCCAAAGTTTGGCCTGAGCTGTGCCAGATCTAAGCTTCTTCTAAACCAGGTATATAGCCAACATGCAAGCACAACTATAGGGCATGGCAAGTGTAGTCCTGCATAATTTCCAACACCTGAATAACTTGGCAAGGGTTTGCATTCAGCACACATTCAGCTGGGCCAGTGTTGGCTCAGTTGGCTATTGCTAATTATGGATACTTAGGATTGTGCTCTAAGCTAGATATATAAAAAATGAACAAATGTTTAGTGAAATGAATATATTTTCAGTGGATGCTAAAACACTATAAAGTTGGGTGTCTGATTTGTTCTGAAAGGGAGTATATTCCTTCCAACAGCGAAGAGAATCCAAACTAAGAGAGTATAGGGTTTAGCCGTAAACATTTAAAGGTTTTGCCTATGGCTCATATTACATTTCACTTTAAACATTCCTTTTTTAAAAAAGAAATGGTCTATAATTTAAAAATGGATTAAAATCAACAAGGTTTCTAGTATGTTGGGCCTTGGTTCTGCTTCTGTTTATGAAATCTATGTGTATGTGAGTATTATATGTATATATATTTAAAAATCCAACGTGAGGTGCAATAAAACTGCTTTTCTCTGATCAACTTGCTCTTTTTCCCCTCCTTTAGGAGCCAAAGTGTCTTAGTTAACTTTTCCTTCCCCTCCCTTTCTCTCTTCATTTCCCTGTCTCTGCTGTTCTAGTGGATATATGGTCAGTAGGATGCATTATGGGAGAAATGGTGCGCCACAAAATCCTCTTTCCAGGAAGGGATTGTATCCTTATTTGCTGCAGCTTTTATTGAATTGTTTCTCTCCCATCCCCTGCAGCCTGTTCCCTGACTTTTTCCTATTAAGCAAAGAAAACATGAGAGGAGTACAAAGACAGAAGCAAAAAAAGCTGACTGTAAGAGGTGTGTGTAATTATGATTGGAGTAACCTGGGAAATAGTGACAAATGGGGAGGGAAGCAATATGGCAAGTGATGACATTAGTACCATTTTTGGGGTAAAAAGAACCAACCACCATTTACAAACTTTTTGTATTATTTTGTATTGAAGAAAACAGCCCATTTGTTCCTTCAAATCTTTCCTGTCCCCTCCCCTTTTTGGCTAAATGTTTTCGAAGATCATAATATTTTTTTGATGTTTGTGGTGACATCATAATCTTTTGCTTGCTAATGCATCATTAGTCTGGGTCTGCCTAAATGCTGTATGGACTCTGGAGATGGGTCAATACAACATTTTATTCTGAATGTTTTGACTTACCCATTTGTTGACTAGAAGACATCCAGCAGTTTTCTGAAGCTTCCTAGAAATGGACGTCTTAGTCAGATTTCCAGAATGAGCTTTCCTTTTTTTGTGCATGACATCTCTATCATTAACAATACTCCGCTTACCCCCAAACCCTGCTCTGTCTTGTTCATTTTAATTTTGATGATATTCCTTTTACCAGCTCCTGAGGTGGTGAAAGTAATATTAGAAAATGAAAACAACTAAGAAAAAAGAGAGATAAAGAGAGAAAGAAAGAGAAAGACTAACTTTTCTGGGAATCAAGCTAGAAAGGCATTCATACTAACAAGAACAAAAGAAATCACACATTTGCCTTACATCTTGCATGTTTTATAAGGAACAAAAGGGAGATTTCCACCAGTGTATTGAAAGGAGACACATTTATAAATTGGCTTCAGAGTTCTTTGACAGCTGGCATGATAGACACAGTGCCATGAGCACCAATTAATATTTGCTGCATTTTGCTGCTGAACATAGGATACATTTTTCCAATATATTAAGGTCATTTCTCCTCTATCCCAGTAAATACAGAATTGAATAAAGAAAGGAATATATTGTAGGTCTTCAGATGTATAAGGTTTTCATTTAAAAATGAGATGCATATGAATGGGCAGCCAACAATACATCCATAGGAAGTGTCTATCTATAAAGACCTACACAGAGTGCCAATTTTATCATGACTGATGTGGAATGACAGTCTCTGATTACAATGTTTATTCATTAGGTTAAAAGTGTTGTTGTGATCTATTTCTCAGTTTGCATATGCACTAGTGGTACAAGTTTCACTAGTGTGCACCTATTCTTCTTTTATTTGCAAAGTTTTCCCAGTTCACCGCCATTATGACAAGGAAAGAAATAAAGTCCTCCACATTATAGCAATGGGCAGTGGCATCTCTGTGTTGCATTTTAGTGAAAAAAATAGCTAAGATATACTCAGTTCTTGTGGGTTTTTTTCGGGCTATATGGCCATGTTCTAGAGGCATTTCTCCTGACGTTTCGCCTGCATCTATGGCAAGCATCCTCAGAGGTGAGGTCTGCTGAACTGGGAAAAAAGGGGTTTATATATCTGTGGAATGACCAGGGTGAGACAAAGGACTTTTGTAAGTTGGGCTAGGTGTGAATATTTCAACTGACCACCTTGATTAGCATACAATGGGCTGACTGTGCCTGGAGCAAACTCTTCTTGAAAGGTAATTAGATGTCCCTGCCTGTTTTCCTCTCTGCTGTTTTGGCTGTTGCAATTTTAGAATTTTTTAATACTGGTAGCCAGATTTTGTTCATTTTCATGGTTTCTTCCTTTCTGTTGAAATTGTCCACATGTTTTTGTGGATTTCAATGGCTTCTCTGTGTAGTCTGACATGGTGGTTGTGAGAGTGGTCCAGCATTTTTGTGTTCTCAAATAAAATGCTGTGTCCAGTTGGTTCATCAGGTGCTCTGCTATGGCTGATTTCTCTGGTTGGAGTAGTCTGCAGTGCCTTTCATGTTCCTGGATTCCTGTTTGGGCACTGCGTTTGGTGGTCCCTATGTAGACTTGTCCACAGCTGCATGGTATACGGTAGACTCCTGCAGAGTTGAGAGGATCCCTCTTGTCCTTTGCTGAACGAGCATTTGTTGGATTTTCTTGGTGGGTTTGTAGATTGTTTGTATGTTGTTTTTCCTCATCAGCTTCCCTATGGTCAGTGGTTCCCTTGATGTATGGCAGGAACACTTTTCCTCTGGGTGGATCTTCGTCTTTACTCTCATGGCTTGTTCTTGGTCTTGCAGCTCTTCTGATGTCTGAGGTGGAGTCTCCCTTGGCCTGGAGAGCCCAGTTGAGGTGGTTCAGTTCATCTTGGAGGAGGTGGGCTTCGCAGATTCTTTTTGCACGGTCTGCCAAGGCTTTGATGGGGCTTCTTTTTTGACTTGGGTGATGGTTGGAGTTTTTATGTAGATATCTATCTGTGTGTGTGGGTTTTCTGTAGACGGTGTGACCCAATTGTTGATCTGGTTTGCGGATGACTAGGACATCTAGAAAAGGCAGTCTTCCTTCATTTTCTTTTTCCATGGTGAACTGGATGTTTGGGTGGATGCTGTTAAGATGTTCCAGGAACCTGTTGAGTTCTTCTTCTCCATGGCTCCAAATGGTGAAGGTGTCATCCACATATCTGAACCATATAGTGGGCTTTTTGGTTGCTGTTTCAAGAGCTTGTTTTTCAAATTGTTCCATGTAGAAGTTAGCTATGACTGGGCTGAGAGGGCTCCCCATAGCTACTCCATCTTTCTGTTCGTAGAATTCATTGTCCCACTGAAAATAGCTGGTGGTGAGGCAATGGTGAAACAGCGCCGTGATGTCTTCTGGGAACCTCTGGTTGATGAGTGCCATGGTGTCTGCAACTGGGAAAAAGAGATACCCAAACTTCGACATACGACAGCAGCTATGTAAATCGGAAGCCCTTCCACCCAGTTGCACAGTTACGAAGCCACATTGGGCTCACAACACACTACATCAAGGACTCAGCCCACTTCATTGAAAAAATCAGCAATCTCAAGCTAAATACAAATGACAAACTGATCAGCTTCGATGTGGTGTCTCTATTTACCATGGTCCCAGATGGATTTTGGGGAGTCCATAAAGCCTGGGTGGAAGGGCTTCCGATTTACATAGCTGCTGTCGTATGTCGAAGTTGATTGAGGAGTTTTTCCCAGTTGCAGACACCATGGCACTCATCAACCAGAGGTTCCCAGAAGACATCACGGCGCTGTTTCACCATTGCCTCACCACCAGCTATTTTCAGTGGGACAATGAATTCTACGAACAGAAAGATGGAGTAGCTATGGGGAGCCCTCTCAGCCCTGTTGACATCAGACAGGCGCCCTCCCTGATGGCTTTCCGTAAGAGCCTAAAGACCTGGCTATTCGAGAAGGCATTTAATTGAATGTTATATTAATTGGAGATGACAATCGGAACGGAAAATGGATTATGAGATTGGTTATGATTCTGATGTGACGGAGCGGATTAGTTAGTGTAAGTTTAGATTAATTTAGATTAATGTGTATTTGATATGTCGATCTTTTTTGTGTGGCTTGATTGTATACTGTTTTTAATATGTTGTACACCGCTGCGAGTCGCCCTAGGGCTGAGAGCGGCGGTTAACAAATGCAGCAAATAAATAAATAAATAATAAATAAATATTACAACAGTGAGCAATGCCATCTACCACATTTATTGTCATATACATCAGTCTGCATGACTTAGTAACTTAAGAAAACCTCAGTGACATGGTTCTAGTTAAGAATCTGGTCTCTGTAATTCAGTAGCTTTCAGCTTTTGTACCTCCAGATGTCTTCATCTCCTAGAAGATTTAGTAAGCATGACCATGGCCATATAGCCTGAAAAAACCTACAACAACCCAGTGATTCCGGCCATGAAAACCTTCGACAATACATTAGTAAGCATGGCTGATGATAAAGAGTTATGGAAGTGGAAGTCGAAACATCTGAATGATCAAAGGCCCATCTGATAAAGAAACCATTTCAATTGCTACCAGAGAGCCACACAGACTCCTGCCTTTGTTTATTCTATGTAGCATTATCAAATTCCCTAAACCAGTGGTTCTCAACCTGTGGGTCCCCAGGTGTTTTGGCCTACAACTCCCAGAAATCCCAGCCAGTTTACCAGCTATTAGGATTCCTGGCAGTTGAAGGCCAAAACTCACAAGTTGAGAACCACTGCCCTAAATCCTTTAGAGCTAAACATAATTTCTGTCTTCATTCAGTAAGGACCAGGAAGGCTTTCTGAGGCTCTTAAGAGTTTGGGGCAGGGAAGGAAATGAAAACTGTTTCCAAAATTATGTGATATTATTGTAGTGAAAGGACAATGTCTTGAAAGTATGAGAAAGTTTTAAGAGGAATTATTGATTATAAAGCACTTTACAGGAGTGACATAGAGTGCCATGCCAGTTTGCTTGATATCAGTGATATTATAAGACTTTTCCAGCAAATGCCCATCAATCTTGTGCAGCCATATTTGACACAACACTCTTTCTCCTACCAAGTGTGTTAAGTTGACTTGAGTGGAGGACAGCAATGACCAATAGTGAATTTTTCCAAGATCTTGTAAGATCTTGTAGTTTTAACACTGTAAGAATACAACCTCCACAATAAGATGAGAATTTAGAGGATCAAAACAACATCAAAGCAGCACTGAAGCAGACCACAGGATTTTCTGACCCCTAACCTTCTTGCCTACCATAATCATCCTATGGGAAGCCCACTGGAGGGATCCTATCTTCTGCTATTGGTCCCCTAGTAATTAGAGAGCTATTGCTTCTAAATCTGGGGATAACACATAGGTATCAATATCAGCACAAAGAAAAAAATGAGTGAAGCATTTTTAAGTGAACAAATATATTGGAAATGTACTCAGACATCAGTGCACTGTGTTTTCAACTTTGCTGAACAGAGAATGAAAATCCATTTTGGTTTTTTTTAGAATTTTTGTTTTGAT